AGTGGCAACTTTCACAACAAGGAGATGGCTGGCCTCAGGAGTGAGAAATCCAGATCTGGTGCCAGGTGGCGATGGGGGTGGGCTGGGGACAGGGTGGGAAAGTCAGAGGCTGGATTCTGGAATGCATTGCCTAGTTCGAAGCCAGTGGAAAAAGGAGATTTTTTCCTGGCCATGATTTTTTTTTTTCTTAGTCTTGAGATGGATTTTATTCACAGGAATGTAGAGTGTGTATGTGTCTTATTAGGCAACTAACCACATGAGAGGCTAAGCTCCTATTCCTTCATTTCATTTTATTTCATATTTGCAGTGCTGGGGATCAAACCCAGGGCCTCACATGCTAGGCAAGTGCTCTACCACAGAGCTACACCCCAGCCCTTCCTGCCCTTCCTGATGGGAATCGTGCTTGTCCAGTGATGAGCAGGTTTGCTCTGAAGTATGAGATGGTGCCTGACTTAGCCACAAGGGTTGCAGCCCTGCTCTCCATGGTCTAACAGGCCATCCCTGGCCTCTCTGGAAGGTCTGTGATGTCCAGGGAGCTACAGTTCAACCTGATGTCATAGTGTCACACGTGGAATTAATTTTCCTGCAACTTTTTCAGGGGAGAGTGAAATGGTTCAGGTTAGGTTGAGATTCACAAGAAAAGGATGCAATCTGTAAGTGAATCAAACAGGGCTTGTGCCTGGTATGGCCAGAAGCAGATCCCCCCGAGAGTGACGTGGCGCGGGTTCTCAGCCTCGCTGTGCTGACACACGGGTGTTACTGACTTTCTTCCTCATGGGAACCGCCCTGTGCGGAGCAGGATGTTTGGCAGCGTCCCAGCCTTCACCCACTCAGGCCAGTGGCGTCCCCTCCCGCCCTCACCCTCAGTGTGACAATCAAAGATGTTTCTGGACATTTTCAAATGTCCCCTAGGGTTGGGGGCTCCTTTCCCCCCTCCCCCACCCCGTGAAGAACCTCTACCATAACATGGTCCACCAGAGTGGGAAAATGAGCTTCACCCTTCTCAAAATTTGTTCTTGGGGTGTGCAGGGAATCACTGGATTTCAAGATTATTCATACTCTTGGAGAAGTCTTTCTTAAACACGGGTTTTTCATTTTCTTTCTGGTTTATTTCCCCAAATATTAAGATTTAGGAGTTCAATTACAGATGAGCTATTCTCTCATACTATGTAAAGTCTCCAACTTCAACTGACTCAAAATAAAAATACAAAATTCTACCAGTTCTTTGACTCTCTTCTGCACTGACAATTTCTAATTACCAATCACTATTGATTCTCATCAAGGCCATTTTCTCCCAGTCTCAGAAGAGACACTTCCTACATTTATAGCGATGAACCTTACCTTTAAAATCAGCTGATGGGTTGGGATCCTTTTTAAAACCTACTGCTATCCAGTCCTCGTGGTGTGTCAAATTAATGTGCTGCAAATTGTATGGTGGAAACAGGCGGTGTCTCCCCCGGGCACACTGTAGTTGGTAATCACCTCTCTATCCTACAGGGATGCTCTGAGATTACTTCATTACAATTACTCTCTGAGATAAATCTTACCTCTGATGTGGAAAGAGCTCCATAATGCGGTGAGTGAAAAGGCAGGCGTTGGACTGTGTGTTTTTAAATAAGATGAAACTAAACAAAATGATACCGGAGCGTGTTTGCAGGGGCACGAGGACCCTACAGCTAACGATGCTCCCACCACATGTCAGAGTAGTTCTTTCTGGGAGACCAAATGCTGAGCACAGGTGAGAGCTGGGGGCAGAGAAGGCGGCTGCACCGCTAATTCTACTTTATAGGCTCTATGTAATTTGAAGTTTTTCTACCAGCAGGTACTATCCTTTCACTTTGAATCAGTGAAACTCCCTTTCCCCTTCTTTGTCTATCACAGGGATGCTGTTTTCAGTTTCCGTTTGAATAGGGGTGTCACGTCTTGCCTGAACAGTTGCGTTTAGGGCTACCGTGACACTGTCCTCTGGGCGTGTCCAACATTCCTTCCGAGTGGCAGCAGGGGCAGCAATCAGGGCAGGGTCTGCAGGGCTTCCCCTGGCTGCCCCCAGCCCCGAGAGCACCTGGCTGCAGGCAGAGGTGGAGAATGGGTGGCAGATGGACGTTAGCCAGCTGGGGCTGTGATGGCTGACCACGAGCGAACCTACAGATGCTCACAGCCAGCCAGGCCTCAAAGTTGTCACTGTTAGTGTTGGGAATTGAAATAAGGACAAGAACAAATGGA